AGTCTAAAGAAATATTTAGGTAATCTTGAAAATGTTCTAGATATTCCCAAAATATTCTACATATTCTAAAATTAGAATATGTTTAGTACTGAAATGTGTTAGATATTCCCAAAGTGTTCTTAGATAGTCTCAAAATGTTCTTAGAAAATCTGAAAATGTTCTTAGAGTCTCAAAATATTGTAAATAGTGTAAAAAAATTCGATAGTCCTGAAAATGTTCTGAACAGTTCTGAAAATGTTCTGAACAATCCTGAAAATGTTCTGAACAGTCCTAAAATGTCCTAAATACTCCTGAAAAGTGTTAGATATTCTCAAAATGTTCTATATATTCCCAACGTGTTCTTAGATAGTCTCAAAATGTTCTAAGATCGTCTCAAAATGTTTTTAGAAAGTCTCAAAATGTTCTTAAAAAGCCTCAAAATGTTCCAAGAAAGTCTCAAAATGTTCTAAGAAAATCTCAAAATGTTCTTAAAAAGTCTCAAAATGTTCTTAGAAAATTTGAAATTGTTCCAAGAAAGTTACAAAATGTTCTAAGAAAGCATCAAAAAATATTTTCGAGTCTAAAAAAGTTCTGGCGGTCTAAAAAATGTTCTTAGCGGTCTAAAAATGTACTTGACGGTCTAAAAATGTTCTTGGCGGTCTAAAAATGTACTTGACGGTCTAAAAATGTACTTGGCGGTCTAAAAATGTTCTTGGCGGTCTAAAAATGTTCTTGGCGGTCTAAAAATGTTCTTGGCGGTCTAAAAATGTTCTTGGCAGTACACACAAATTCTCAACAGTCTAATAAAAGTTCTGGGCAGTCTAAATAAAAGTTCTGGGCAGTCTGAAAATTTTGTTGGACGGTTCAAAAATGTTCTGGGCAGTTTGAAAAAGTTCTGCACTATCTAAAAATGGTCTGGATAATATGAAAAACGTTCTGTACGGCCTGAAAATGTTCTGGACGATCTGAAATAGTTCTGGACGGTCTAAAAATGTTCTGAACAACCAAAAAATATTCTAGAAAAATTAGAAAAGTTCTGGGCAGTCTGAGAAAGTCCTCTAAAAAGGTCTGGGTAGTATTTTACTTATAAACAATCAAGGAGCAATGTTATAATAACAGAATTCTAGATGCTGCAGTTATCGTACGATTCTTCCTTGCTGTGTTTATATGTAAAATACGCCTGATCGCACAGCAAATAGACATTTTCACGTTTCACTAACAAGAAACAAGCATAAGATAGCGTAGGCAGAATTGCCCGGTCATTCTCATTATCTCACCTTATCATATTTAGTAGAACTATTTCCATCATCGCCTTCGCTATCGTTAACATCGGTAGAAGACCCAGTCGATTCATCTTCCCTTAAGTACAAGTCCAACAGACAGGAGAATGCTATTCCCGACAGCACACAGACAACCGGAGTCAGAGTTAACATCAAACGAACCATGACACCAGCAAAATACACAGCACTCAAAGCATAAAGAACAACTGGAAAAAGAAAACAATAGTTAAAAATAATTTAATAAAATGCATTGTATATTTTACAACTTACCAAATACTCGTTCGTCATTAATATTCTTCACGCAGTACCACAGTCCAACAGGGAACGTATACACCAGGATGTGCAGATCGAAACAGAACGAAAACCAGGTCGTGGGCTGATGTTCCGAAACACTTGCAATAATCGGAATATGAATCTTAGCATATCCTGTATCCCACAAAGAATAAAATCTTCCACTCCAGGGCGCAACTACACCCAACAAAGTGAGCGCCACGACCCCCAAAAACACAACAACGGCCGCCGTGAAGCCTCCGACTAAAAACAGTTTTTGGAACTCGGCCTTGGAGAGCATCGTTTGCGTGTATTTTAAAGCAGCAACTGCAATCAGTAGCAGGAAGACTCCTGAGGCAGCCATGTGCTCACTGGTCCTGATCGGTTGGAAACCGACAAACGGAATTTGCATCGAAAACAGAAGTCCTAGTATATAAAATGTTGTGTAACTCGTAAACAATCTCGGAGAGTATCGTCCCATCAGCAGCAACGTAAACACGTGCAGAGGCACCAGGTTGATGATAAAAACGTAACCGCCCCATGCGCTGACCATGTAGAAGTACACGAGGGCTGCTGCAGTTGCCCAGAACACAGAGCCGGTTTTTACTGATTTTATCCATAGGAAGTAGGTGAATTGTAGAGCGAATATGGCAATTCCTTCGTTGTCGTAGGAACCGGCAACCGATCGACTTATGTAGCCTGGAACGATCGCTATGAAACAGGCTGCGAATAGACCAGCACCGGCTGACCAGAGCTCTTTCGTTAGGAAGTATGTTGATATTGCTGTCAGACCACTGAGGGAAGGGAAAAAGGTAAAAAATAATTGTAACTTGAAAAGATAATTAGTGGTGCATGGCATTGTGCCTTAAGGAAAATCGCTGGAACTTCCCGTACCGTAATTAAAATTTTTTAAAAGCTTTAAATTTTTTAAAACTTTTGAACTTTTTAACTTCCCTTAGGGTAAGTTATAGAAATGAGCCAAAAATTGAAAATAATTTTTTTTGCATATCTTCACGTTTCAAAGGTTTCTAAACATTTTGGCATACCTTAGAAAAAATTGATTGTTTATGTGTGTATGTATGTATATAGGTTA